AAAAAAAAAAAAAAAAAAGTCCTGTTCAATATTCCCTTATTTCTGTTTATGGCAGTTTAGTCAAGATGGACACTTCACATTAAGTCCTATGAGCCTCACAATAAATTTACATGTGTTATGCTATCTTATATGGCTTGTACAACTATAGGTTATTATAGCTCCATTTTACAGGTAAGTAACATAATAAGATAAGTGACCTGCCTTCGGTCACTCTGCTGCCAAGCAGTAGAGGCAAGTTTCGAACTCGTTGCTTTTGAAGATTTACACGCGGTCCCCCGAGATTCCGTAATCTCTCTCTTTCTACAGACAAGGCGGCCCCGCCTCCCTGGGAGCTGCGCGACCCCATCAGGAAAGCCCTTTGGCCCCGCACAAGTGACAGTGATGTACGACAGGCTCCCGAGCCGCTAGGCCGAGGGTCTGCATAGGCTCGGCAGGCGCAACGAGTGGAGGCGACCAAGCCAGGCCTCCGCCCGAAGCCTTGGGTGCCAGGACAAGGCAGGGCCCACCTGCTCAAAGCCGGCTCCTCGTCACTAGGCTCCTCAATCGCGTAGGGATCGTAGTCATCCGGCAGTCGGCTCATGGTGGCCTGCAGCGGCCTACACCGTCCACTGCGATGTGCAGCGTCTGTGTTTACTCTCCAAGTCCCGTCCCTAAAGCGTCCCGACGCCACTTCCGCCTGCACTTCCGAGTTCCCTTTGCGCGCCTGCGCAGACGACAGAAGCGAAGGGTCTTGGGAGAAGGTGGGGAAGAGGCGGGGCTCATGCCTGTGATACCAGCACTTTGGGAGACCAAGGTAGGAAAATCACTTGAGGCCAGGAGTTCAAGACAATCATAGGCAACAAAATGACACTATGTCTACAAAAGTTTAAAACATTAGCTAGGCAGGGAGGCTGATGCAGGAGGATTGCTTGAGCCCAGGAGTTCAAAGGTGCAGTGAGCTGTGATTGCCATCGCATACTCTTGCCTGGACAACAGAGTAAAACCTTTTTAAAAAAATGTTAACACGACCCCGCTCTCCCATCACCCTCCCCTGCCCTCCCCAGCAAAAATAAAATAATAATAAAAATGTTAACACAAATATCTAAAAACCACTGAAAAATTAGTGGATCACATAACCCAAATTCCATTTTAATTTGTGAATTGGATATTATACACAAAATTCCCACCTCATCACTGATGCTAATAATTTTTATTAAATTATCTATACCCCTTTAACTTTGAATTCTGAGGTACTTATACATACATTTTTCATATCAAATTGTGTCTTACAAACTACTATGGATGGGCAGTGTTAAAACAGTCACTTTTGAAGACTTTAAATTTATTATCAAATGTGGTTGTTTTTTGTTTTAATTTTTTGCAGAGACAAGTATTTCCCTATGTTGCAAACTCCTGGGCTCCAGTGATCCTCGTGCCTCGTTCTCCCAAGGTGTTGGAATTATAGGTGTGAGCCACTGTGCCCAGCCACATGTGGTTTTTTTTTTTTTTGAGACGGAGTTTCGCTCTTGTTACCCAGGCTGGAGTGCAATGGCGCGATCTCGGCTCACCGCAACCTCCGCCTCCTGGGTTCAGGCAATTCTCCTGCCTCAGCCTCCTGAGTAGCTGGGATTACAGGCATGCGCCACCCATGCCCAGCTAATTTTTTGTAGTTTTAGTAGAGTCGGGGTTTCACCATGTTGACCAGGATGGTCTTGATCTCTCGACCTCGTGATCCCCCCGCCTCGGCCTCCCAAAGTGCTGGGATTACAGGCTTGAGCCACCGTGCCCGGCCGGTTCTTAATAGATAATAGTTACTTAAGTAACTGTCCATGCTGTGTACACTGTCCACCCATCAACCACTAAGTAGCTGTATTGGTTGTCACATTATGGATCACAAGAAGATTGAGGTTGGGTTCGGTGGCTTACACCTGTAATCCCAGCAGTTTAGGGGGCCAGAGTGGGAAGACTGTATGAGCCCAGGAGTTCGAGGCCAGCCTGGACAACAAAGCAAGATCCTATCTCTCAAAGAAAATTTTAAAACAAATTTTTTGGCCGGGCGCAGTGGCTCACGCCTATAATCCCAGCACTTTGGGAGGCCAAGGCAGGCGGATCATCTGAGGTCAGGAGTTCGAGACTAGCCTGACCAACATGGTGAAACCCCGTCTCTACTAAAAATACAAATATTTGCCGGGCATGGACGATACCTAATACTTACCTGGCAGGGGAGATACCATGATCACGAAGGTGGTTTTCCCAGGGCGAGGCTTATCCATTGCACTCCAGATGTGCTGAAACTCCAGTTTCCCAAATGTGGGAAACTCTACTGCATAATTTGTGGTAGTGGGGGACTGCGTTCGCGCTCCCTCCTGGTGGTTGTGATTGAATAGCAGACTGCTTCCTGACTACCTAGGTAGGTCGTTTGTCGATGGTGTTTGGTGTTGCGTTTTCGGTTTGTGTGCTTGTCAGTCAGGTATCGTGCGTGTTTTTTGTTTTCCCCACCCCCGTGGGGAAGAGGGTCCCACTTCTGTGTTTGTCATCGAGCTGCCACCATTGGTTTTTGGTTCTCATGGGTATCCTTGTCGAAAAGTTGCCATCTCATGCTTTTCTAGGCCAAATCTGCCTTTTTCCTGCTAGTTTGGGGTGTGTAGAGAAGCTTCTTTATTTGGCATGGACTAGGCACTTGGGGGAAAGTATCCCAGGATCTGTAACTGCTGGCAGAAACGGCAGAGTATGTTTGGGCAATTAATCCTGGTACAGGCAAGTATCCGGCTCAGAGGTTTAGGAAGGACCTGCCGGGGGTGAGTTCCCTGCCTCCCCACGTTCCCACCCGGGGGAGATGGAGTCCATGGGAGCTGCTGATCCCACCCAGGCAGATGCTGGGGCTTGTTGGCAGCCGCTGCTCATGCCTGTAATCCCAGCACGTTGGGAGGCCGAGGCGGGCAGACCACCTGAAATGAGGAGTTCGAGACTAACGTGGGCAACATGGTGAAACCCCATCTCTACTAAACATATAAAAATTAGCTGGGCAGGAGAATTGCTTGAATCCAGGAGGCGGAGGTTGCAGTGAGCCAAGATCCTGCCACTGCACTCCCGCCTGGGCGACAGAGGGAGACTCCGTCTCAAAAAAAAGGTAAATACAAAACTGGAAGAAAACAAAAACGTTGGCCGGGCACAGTGGCTCACGCCTGTAATCTGTAATCCCAGCACTTTGGGAGGCCAAAGCGAGAGGATCACTTGAGCCCAGGAGTTAAGAGACCAGCCAAGGCAACACAGTGAGAGACCTGGTCTCTAAATTTGGAAGGAAAAAAAAAAAAAAAAGGCGAGCAGATCAGGCTGAGGCTAAGGCTGCAGTGAACAGAACGGTGATGGCTCCACTGCACTCCCACCCGAGTGACAAGAGCGAGAGACTGCCTCAAAAAAGAAAAAAGACAACAACAAAAACATGTGCCCTTGGTACCATAAGGAAAAGAGACATTTCCCCTTCCCTTGAGGGTGAGTCTCTGCTTTTTGAGACAGGGGCCCTCTCTGTCGCCCAGGCTAGGGTGCAGTGGCGTTAGCCTAGCTCACTCACTGCACCCTGGAACTCCTGGGTTCAAGTGGTCCTCCAGCCTCAGCCTTTCTCCTGGCTAGAGCCACAGGTGTGCGTCACCACACATGGCTAACTGGCTAACTTTAATTTCTTTCTTTTTTTCTAGAGAGGGTGTCTTCCTATGTTGCCCAGGCTGGCCTCAAACTCCTGGGCTCGAGATCCTTCCTCCTTGGCCCCCCAAAGTTCTGAAATTATGGATGTGAGCCACCACACCTGGCCTAAGTGAGTCATATTAACAGCTGAATAAAGACCAAGGAAGATATTTACCTACCTCCTTTCTGTCTGTGGGAATTAACTTATTTATTTACATTTATTTTTATTTATTTCTGAGACAGAGCCTCCCTCTATCACCCAGGCTAGAGTGTAGTGGTGCAATCTCATCCCACTGCAATCTCCACCTCCCCGGTTCACACAATTCTCCTGCCTCAGCCTCCCAAGTAGCTGGGACACACAGGTGCGTGCCACCACATCCGGCTAATTTTTGTATTTTTAGTAAAGAGGAGGTTTCACCATGTTGGCCAGGCTGGTCTTAAACTGCTGACCTCAGGTGATCTGCCTGTCTTGGCCTCCCAGAGTAAGTGTTGGGATTGCAGGGGTGAGCCACTGCACCTGGCCTCTATTGCTGGGAATTTAGCCTAGGTGGCTGACTCCAAGTTGTCACTACCAACTTGTATCAGAGGTTTTCTTTTCCCCGTGGGTACCGGCAATTAATAACACAGCTGACCGCTCCAATTACCAGTTGACTTGAGGATGAACTGTGTATAGCAAATGGTGCTAAGTTTCTTTCTTGAGGACAAATTCTTGACAGCATGTATGTTAGGCCTTGCATCTGCCTACCCATATAAAGGGGTGACATTTCCTAGAGCTATAAACAGAATTGTGGGCGTGGCGGCTCACATCTTCAGTCCCATCCCTTTGGGAAGCCAAGGCGGGAGGGTCGCTTGAGCCCAGGAGTTTAAGACCAGTCTGGGCAATATAGGGAGACCTCCTGTCTACTTTTTAAAAAAAAAAAAATGCAGTAGCGTACCCAGAAGTCCCAGAGTCTACCACTGGTTTCCTCAGCAGTTTGTTAAGGCTTTATCAGAATTTACTGGCAAAGATCCAGGAGCAGATCAAAATTCTGCTCCAGTCTTAGCCCACCTTTGTCTCGGCTCTCTTACTGACTATCCAGAGTCAAGTTAGGCAAAAAATGGTAGGGTAGGCTGGGTGCAGTGGATCACACCTGTAATCCCAGCACTTTGGGAGGCTGAGGAGGGCAGATCATTTTAAGTCAGGAGTTCGAGACCATCCTGGCCAACATGGCGAGACCCCGTCTCTACTAAAACTACAAACATTAGCAGGGCGTGGTGGTGTGCACCTGTAGTCCCAGCTCCTTGGGAGGCTGAGACACGAGAATCACTTGAACCCAGGAGGCAGAGGCTGCAGTGAGCCGAGATCGCACCACTGCACTCCAGCTTGAGCGATAGAGCGAGACTCTACTAAAATTTAGGGGACAGTCTAGAGAAAGAAGAAACAAGGGAACGTTAACTGCTGTGCTAGCTGCTCACAGCTATTTACTACAGAGAATCAGTCTCTACTCTGGATCACCCATGAGGGGAGCTAAGCAAAAGGGAAAACCTTTTAAGTCATTATTGCAAGAGCCAGAAGAGCAGAAGAGGGATTGCAGAAAGAGACTCCAGAGAATGCAGAAGTTGCAGGGACCCGGGAATCAGGAGAGCCCAGAAGGAGAAACCCTCAGCTAAAAAATAATTGTTAAGTATTGCAAAATTGACAGATTGGGGGAATCTTAGTTGGGGAAACTAACAAACCAACCATATGTGTCAATAACTTCCTCAGCCCAGAAAATAGCCTTACCTTTTTGGATAGATATCGCTGGTGCTACTTTTTTTTTTTTTTTCAGAGGGAGTCTCGATTCTCCTGCCTCAGCCTCCCAAGTAGCTGGGATTACAGGGGCACGCCACCACTCCCAGATAATTTTTGTATTTTTAGTAGAGACGGGGTTTCACATTGTTCGCCAGGCTGGTCTCAAACTCCTGACCTCAAGTGATCTGCCCGCCTCGGCCTCCTCAAGTGTTGGAAGTAGAGGCATGAGCCACCGCGCCTGGCCCTTTGGTGCTACTTATTCTTCAAGTTCCTCCTAAATTCCCCGATTTTCATCTGTTGATAGATCAATGCAGGTTGTTGATTTTCTGGATCAACTTTCTACTTTTCCTTGGCAGTTCCCATAGAGATAGGCCCTCTGACTGAGGAACGTGTGTTCTTTCTTTCTCTTGATTCTCTTGTAAACCTACTGGAAAGACACCTGTGTAAACTAAACTACCTACCATCATCTGCACTCCGGATGGAGTATTTTGTGGAGCTCCTAGTTGGTACCTGTATGCCTTCTGAAAGAAAAGGGGTGTGATGGAGAGAGACAGTTTCACAGTGGACTGGAAAAGCATCCAGGCTAAAACAAATTGGTACATGCATGACGTTGGAACTTAGGGAGTAATGATGCTATTTGGACAGAGAGAACCAGTGACTCACCAAAAGGATAAACCATGGTCAGGTATAAAATGATATCCTTTGTAGAGATCTCAATTTGACGGAATAAATGTGGTTACACAACCATTAAACAAAACAAACAACACAAATAGGAGCTTATTTAAAAAGGGCACTGGTGGCCCAGTGCGGTGGCTCAAGCCTGTAATCCCAGCAACTTTGGGAGGCTAAGGCAGGTGGACCACTTGAGCCAAAGAGTTTGAGACTAGCCTGGGCAACACAGGAAATCTGTCTCTATTTAAAAAATAATAATAGAAGAAGAAAAAGAAAAATTAAGGCCGGGTGCGCTGGCTCACGCCTGTAATCCCAGGACTTTGGGAGGCCGAGACGGGCGAATCATGTGAGGTCAGGGGTTCGAGACCACCCTGGCCAACGTGGTGAAACCCCATCTCTACTAAAAATACAAAAATTTGCTGGGCATGGTGCTGCGTGCCTGTAATCCCAGCTACTTGGGAGGCTGAGGCAGGAGAGTCGCTTCAACTGGGGAGGCGCAAGCTGCAGTGAGCAGAGATCTCGACCCTGCCTTCCAGCCAGAGTGTCAAGAAGGAAACTCTGCTCGAAAAAATTTAAAATAATTAAAAGGGCCTGGCACGGTGGCTCACGCTTGTTGTAATCCCAGCACTTTGGGAGTTGACCAGCCTTGTCAACACGGTGAAACCCCGTCTCTACTAAATATACAAAAATTAGCCAGGCGTGGTGGCAGGCGCCTGTAATCTCAGCTACTCGGGAGGCTGAGGCAGGAGATTCGCTTGAACCCAGGAGGGAGAAGGCTGCAGTGAGCCGAGATCTCGCCCTTGCCCTCCAGCCTGGGCGACAGAGCAAAACTCCATCTCTTCTTTTTTTTAAGATGGGGTTTCACCATGTTGGCCAGGCCGGTCTTGAACTCCTGACCTCAGGTGATCCACCCACCTCGTCCTCCCAAAGTGCTAGGATTACAGGCATGAGCCACTGCGCCCGGCCCGGCCCGAAACTCGGTCTCAAAGAAAGAAAGAAAGAGGGAGGGAGGGAGGGGGAGAGAGAGAGAGAGAGAGAGAGAGGGGGAGAGAGAGAGAGAGAGGAGAGAGAGAAAAGAAAGAGAAAGAAACAAAGAAGAAAAAAAGACAGGAGCTTATTTTAAAAAGGATACTCATCCTGTTAAGAGGGAATATAAATTTGATAAAGATGGTTGATCACATAATTTGTACAGTATCTTAGAGAAGTAAATAAAATCCTTGTTTCATTAGCTCCTGTAGTTCCTAA